CCGCCAGTTCTGGGGGGGGGGGGGGCACAGCCCTGGTCCAGGCGCTCCTATCACCTGCTGCTGACGAATGGGAACCCCACAGGCCCCCCCATGCAAGCGGAAGGGACAGGTTTTGGAGGAAAACTGGTGAGGAGGCAGAGGCAGGCAGTGAGGTGGAGAAGGCAGCGCTGAGCAGATGGACCGGGCGGTGAAGGTGAGCAGCGCAGGTGCAGGACTGAAGCTGTGCCTCCCCTCGGGGAGGGGTGGCGGGTTGTGTTTGGGAGAGAAACCCCTCCTGAAGACACAGAAGTTCATATTTTTCATGTCGGCAGGCTGGACTATCCCGTAGGCTTCGGGCTGTGTGTCTGTGACCAAAAAGGTGCTGTGCATTTTTACAGCCGTTAGGTATCTCACTGTAAAATCCCGCCGCGGTGGGGTTCTGTCGTTGTTACCTTGATACAGCTCACTGCTGTCAGGCCTGGCAGGGGGGACTGCATTAATCTTGCCTTCCCACCTCAGGGCAAACACTACTGGTGTCTTGTTTCCTCAAGAGTCTTGTAGTATGACAACTAACAGGAATCGACTGTCTTAATGAACCCCACTCTCCCCTCCCTTAGCTTTGGGTAGTGAAGACATGGGCTTTAACTCAAGCAGCCAACTACACTGAACACTGGGAACAAAGCAATTTGCAGTAGAACGTTATTTAATATGAATGAAGAACCCGCCCTTTTTCTTGAATACGAATTGTAAGAAGTGCAGGGGGATTTCGCTGGAAGAGACTTATTGGATAAAGTGAGAAATCTTGGCGTATTGAGAAGACTATGGGGAGGACTGATGTTTTGCTGTTGATACACTTCCCCTGCAAAATCTTGGGAAAGATTTTGTAGGGGAAAGACAGTGCTTTACCATTTTTAGGTGATTCTGGGTGGAGAAATTGTGTGGGTTGGGAATTGTAGCGTAGAAATTCTCGTGGTAGGGAGGTGGCAGGAAAGGGGTCTCTGCATGTCTGGGGTTTAGGTTACTGAGTGCATTTGACCAGAAAACCTATTTTCTCCATTGACATTAGGAAGAAAAAAAATGTATGCTATCGGCTCTGGCGCACAGTGGGAGCAAAAGGAAGGATGACTGTTCAGTACTGGGGTTCCCATCCTTCATTCCTTCCTTCTCTTGTCCTTGTAGTGACAAGGTATTCACAGGACTCAAGCAGCAAACCTGGGACAAGGTCTTCAGGCAGAATTCACAGATTCGTTGGAATCTGACAGGGCCGCACCACGAGCACTTCTCCAGTGGGGTTCCTGTCAGGGCACACATTGGCTGTTGGGGCCTACCCCTACACATGGGGTTGTCAGGGCTTGAGATCAGCACCGACTGCATTTCTGGGTCTAGGTCAGGTGCAGAAAAAACTCGACGGAGTATTGATGTGCTGTAATGGCCTTTGGAAGCCTTGCAGGTGGGGTGGATAAGAGCTGCATCCTGTCATACAATCTCAAACTGTACCAGTGTACAATATGCCACTCATTTTGACAGATTTCCTTGTTTCCTGGGGTTCCTAAGACTTGTTAACAAATTGCTAGCCAGCGAGCAAGACAGTGACATGTCAAAGAGCATAGTAGGATATCTCCTTCTGTTTCTGCCCTCTGATTTGAGCTCTGTATCTTTGGGCAGCTTATATTACATGTAGGTACCCTATCGTTCCAAGTTGTAAAATAGTTGTGATATTTTTCTACTTTGGGTTGTTGTGGTGTTTGAATTGTTGTTTTAAGAATAGATCCTCTCATAAAAGGTTCCATAAAAATGGAAAGTGTTGTTAATTGCAACTTTCTGGAGTGCCTCTTCTTACGAAGAGCTGCAGACGCTACAAACAGTATTTGCATTGGTTAAGGAGTGCCTCATCAACATCTTGCAGACAAAAAGAAGTGTACAGTAAACACTAGTTTGTGAGGAATTTACAATTACAAACTGCACGTCTGTCTGATGTTTCTTTCCATTAGTGGTTATTGTTTTATTGGCAAGCTTCTATTAAGAGAAATCTTCATCTCAAATTCTCAGACTAATGCATTTCATGGAAGCAAAAAATATTTTCAGTCTCTTGCAGAAATTGGAATGTTTCTGCCGAAGGACCTTTGACTGCAAAGGAACAGGAAAAAATGTTGTTTCTTTTTTTTCTACATTTTATTCCACTTGGATTTACTCTTTTTTTTAATCTAAATTTGGACACTATTATAAAGGCAAAGGGAGAGTCATTTAAAAATATTTATTGGCTTATTAAATTGAACTGCTTTGCTGCTGTAGAGCCAAGCTTTATAGAATCTGCACCATAGAAGTATAATATTTCCTTAACAGAAGATATAAAATCAGTTTTGCTCTAATTTTCAAGGATAATAGATGGTTAATTATAAAAATAATGGAAGTAATTTAATCCCCTGCATATTCAAAACTTATAGTCTTATCCTTGTAAAGCAAGAGACTATCCCCAGCCACATGAAACACATTAATTGGCTACTTCTTGTGTGATTAGCAGTGAAAAATATAGCATAGGCACTTTGAAGCTTACTTAAGATAACTGGCAGTCTGTTAATACAAATTAACTGGGCTGGACAACATGGTTTTATCCAGTGTTGTAAGATGAAGGTAATATTCAATTACATTTAAAAATCAGGACATTAAACATGAAGAAAGGAAATACTTGGTCATACAACACATGAGTAACGGTGCCGCTCATTGCCACAGGTGGCAATAAATATTTTAAAAGGCACAGATATTTATATAGATCTGAAAAATATCCAGGGTTTTCATAATTAATGACCATTTGGAAGGGATATTAAATCTTGTGTTTCAGGGCATAAAGCAATCTTGATTAGATATCAGGATCAAGGGACATATTACTCGGTGTGTGCTTACTACAGCTTTTGCAAGCTATCCTATAAAGCTTCTGGTTCTGATCAAGAACAAGAAGTACCCCTGTGTGATCTCTGTTAGAAATGCCAATGCTTTGCCTACACTTGTAATGCAGTGTTACTTCTGAACAAAAATCTAATGTGGATGTAGTCAGAGGAACTAGATTATTTTTTAAACAAAGGCTAAGGTTGAATCTATATTTAAGAGTTTAGCTCACGTAGCTGTGTTTGGTTAGGATGTGAAAAAAATCATGTCATAGTTAACAATGCAGGGAAAACCGTGTTGTAAACATGGTTACACCAGTCCTGCAAACATGAGTTATAGCAGCAAAAGAACTTGCACCAATATGGGTTTGCTAACAGCTGTACAAGTGAACTGTTTCTAGTGTAGACAAGACATTCTGTGCAAACCAGAAAAGTCCATGCTGAAACAGCAGGGAGACCCATGGGTTCCAAGGATAATAATTTTTTTCCTCTTGTCTGTGGATTTCTATTGACCCTGCCCTGGATCTATTCTATATAGTATTCTACGTGCACATCTATCTCAGTTTGTAGAAAAACAGGAGGC